ACTCACAGCACGACATTCAACCACCTGCGCCACCAGGGGAGGTCCTAATATTTTTATTAATACTGACATTTCAGTATAATTATGTTGCTATAAAAATATTTTTCCCCAGTTGACCTATCTTTTTTTTTTTTCATTTTATTGTGGTGATACCGATTTATAACACTGCATATGATTTGGGGAATAGGTTCACATCACACCCACTGGCAAAGCATCCATAATCCTCCATCACAGACCATAGGGTTCCCTCCCCTGCTTGCTCTCCACCCTCCAACCCCCACCCCACTAGTAGCCTAAATTCAACAGTTATATGTCCCACTGTTGCCCAAGGCTGCATAGCTGATAAGTGCAGAAACAGATTAGTATGATCACAAACTACATTCTTTCCACAGTGCGATACTACATACATCACGGAAACTGAAACAGACAAAGTTGAATAAAAGAATTGGCTTTTTAAAAATACTAAGATAAATTAGGACATTGTGCAGAATCTATCAGTGCCATTTGTTAAGGGCAAATGTAAGTGCCTATACTTAAGTTCATAAAACAAGCTAAACAAGTACAGAGCAAAGCATTTCAAAGATAAACTTTTTGACTTGCTTGTAGTAAACTCCACTTGTGTCATGATGATGATATTTCCCATATTGCCCCCTCCTCCAAACACTTAGGTTCTATCATAGAAATACAGCATTTAGATGCCTGGTATACTTTATGCTACATCCTTGCTTCCTGCGGTGAAACATTGTACTGCAACCCACATTTAAGATGGTGGTATGCGCTGGGCAACCAATATGACAAAGAGACTTTATTCTTCTGGCATTTTAGGACTCTTGGATTGTATGAGAATATTTAACCTAGAGAGGAAGAGAATTCACGGGAAAGGATATCTGTTCTCCCAAACTGGAAGACTATTCACAAGAGGATATGTTGGCACAAAGATCCAATGGATGAATTGAGAGATCCTTTTCCACTCAACCTAAAAACTAACTGTCCAAAGAAACTGCAGTAGACGGGGTGGTTGAGAGACCTGCTTCAAGCTCTGGGTAGATCTGGATTTACGTCCATGTTCACATCTGTAATCTGAGCACCATAGCTTGCCTCTTCACCTGGGGAAGGTAATGCTAATAGCATCTCTTCAGGATTAACATCTCTTTCAGGTGATGTGGGGCAAACCAGGAATCCTTACCTGCAAGAATAAGAATACTGGATAAGGCCCAAATGCATGTTTGCATTGGGAGCAAGAAAAAGGACAGCTTAAAGAAAGCACTGTTAACGTGCAACCCGGGACCCCCAAACTTCCCTAAAGGAGTCTGGTCATCTGTGTGCACATGAAAAGGCAGACTTAGTGTGAAAGAATTTTAATAGGGTTAGTGTGCATAAAGAGAGAAGAGAAGAAAGGATAATAGTTTCCTAACAAAATATCCAAAGTTACCCATCACCTCATGGGTAAATGCCCACCCCAGGGTCTGCTTTAAGCAGGGTCGCTGAGGCCCAAAATCTTGCCACAAGTCTAAGCCACCTTCTGACAGAGAACCATAGGAAGGGGGAAAGGGGCCAGGTAAGTCTGGGACTAAAGAAAGAGAATTAAGTACAAATCAAGATAACGGCTTACGTCATCAGCTTCTGCATGTATCTCTCACCCACATCTCCTTCAAGTGTCTCTCCTCCAAGTGTCTCCTCCAGGCCCCCTGGACAGTAACCTTCTTTTCCATGTGTCTCTCCAGCACTCACCTGACTTCCAGGTTATAGAGCTTTACCTGGTTGCTCGGCTTGGCCCATACTTCCCAGTAACTAGTCCAAGGCGGCTGTATATAAATGGGGGCAGGGAACATCTTTTATGGAGATGATGTTACAGGAGAAGATTTAGTGGCCGGCATTTGGCAGGGTGTCTTCTGTCCTACCTGCATTTAAGCATCAAAAGAGCACAGAGGAGGGTATAAGTAGAAGCCACAAAGAGATCGGCCTGCCTGTGATCAGTTTTTTTAAGGTCACCCCTAGTTTCTAGTCTTGAGTGAACCAGGAGTGGAGTCCAGAAAGCTCCACCTTTTACTATTGAATTGGCTATGAGCTCCACCAACTGGCTCAGAGTTTGTTCCTCACTGTTTCTCTTACTAAGGGTTAGGGAAAAGTGTGTTTAAATGCTTGGCACAATGCCAGACAAGTAGGTACTTAATAAATGTCAGTTACTCCTTCGCTAATATTTCTCATCTTTAGAGCTGCCAAAAAAAAAATCAACGGAGGGATTCATGACTACCCTTCAAAAAGTGCTTCCAACGTCCAGGGCCTCAATTTCTATTCAAGCACTCATTTAGGAAGATTTACACAAGAGAAAACACTAGATCAAACAATTCATCTTACTAATAAGAACATACTGACTTAAGTTCTTGATTGCAAATGAAGTTTGACATCATAAATATTTTTGAGTTAATTTTTAAAGAAATATAGGATTAGGTGAGGAAACAACTATCTACAACTGGGAACATATTGTGAAAGCTCAGGGAAGCCCTCCCCTATCTGCACAAACTTAAGAACTGGATCATTTTCTCGTCTGTGAAGCAGCCAAATAAGAATCTGCTGCCTGCAAGTAAGCCAGTCTTTCAAACCCTACTAGTGACCAAGGAGCTGGGTAAACAGGATTTAAACAATGGGCATATAGCCTTGTGTCTCCACAGTGCATTCTTTATAAATAATAGGGGATCAAAAATATACCAGCCCAAACATGTCTTTAGCAAGAACTTTATTTCATGGTAGGGGCTCCAAAGGCTGAAGAGATATTGTTTTTGATATTTATAGCTTTTTTTTTTTTAAATATTCAACTTCACACCATTATGATGCTAGATTACATTTATTTATTTATTTGTACAAGCAATGGGTACAGTCAGAAGTGCGGGAGGGTGAGAGAATTCACCAGAGCCAGAGCGGGGAGCAGAGCAGGCAGAAGGACCGAAGTACACTGCTGAGGGGAGCAGCGGATGGCAGGAGAGGTCTGCGGCCATGTGGGACCCTCCTCCTGTGGCCGGGGAGCAGCCAGGAATAGAACCGGCGCTGCAGAGGCTGCAGGCAGCTTCGCAACCCAGCGCTCAACTGCTGCGCCACCAGGGAGGCCCTGATATTTATAGCTTAACTTTTCTTTGTATCAGTCTCTTCCAGGAAGACCTTTGTAGGGTAATGATGGTCAGGCTTTTCTGCCCTCCACCATTAGGATTGATGATGGATCCCTGCGGTCCTGAATGCATGCCTGATGGCGGGCGCCTGGAGTGGGGTGTGGGCATGCATAGGTGGGTACAACTGGACTGAGACTGGGCCTATAAGGGCAGTGTCACTGGGATGCCAGGAGAACGAGAGGAACAGAACCAGGAGAACAAGCGAAAGAGCTGAATGGAACCACCAGAAGAGAACAAGAGCAGCAAAAGAGAAAAAGAAAGGCAGAAGAGAGAGAACACTGGAGAGCCTAGAAAGAGTGAAGATTCGCCAGGGGCTAGAAGGTCTGCCAGCCTCCCCCTAGGCACCCCTGCCTGCCGTGTACCTGGTAAACTCAATAAAAACCTGGAAGAGCCATTGAGGGCTCCAGGACTCCTCCTACACCTGTCTGCTAGGATCACAGAGATCCTGCACTATGCCTTCCTGCCTCTACAAATTTATTTCTTTATCTTTTTCTTAATGGAGAATGCAGAAGTACCTTTGTTTTCCTCGGTAAATGTCCTGACTCCTTTCTACCCCCAGCCTCCCTTGTCCTGGATAAGACATTTAAGATGGCATCTCAAGCCACGTGGGCAAGTTACTCAGCCATGCTGGGCCTCGCTTGTTGTTAGCAGGTAACCAAGGGGAAGCCAAGGACCTGAAATTTGCAAGCTCTTAAGAGATCTGGCCATCTGTAGGGTAAACGATGGTCAGGCTTTTCTGCCCTCCCACTGTTAGGATTGATGATGGATCCCTGCAGTCCTGAATGTGTGCCTGACAGCGGACACCTGGCTTTTGTTATATTGTTATATTCAGTTGTATTCTATTTACTTTTGTGGGCCATGGCTGCAGTATTTATATTCACCAAGGGAAACTTTTAGAACGATAGAGAGCTGGGTAAAGAGTGAAGATTCACCAGGTACTGGAAGGCCTGCCAAAACTCCTGGCCCCCGGCACTCTGTCTCTGGTGGATCCTCCCACCCCCCACGCCTCTGGCCTGTACCCCAGTTCTTGTATGAATAGATAAATAAATCTTTTAAAAAAAAATTTTTTTTAAATGTGGGCTGGGCCCTCTCTGGTGGTGTAGGGGTTAAAGTCTCAGTGCTATCAAGCTTTCTCAGCATGAGTTTGATCCCTACCAGGGAGCTACCCACATGGCACAGCAGACTTCTCCTGTCTCACCTGGTGCTTTCCTCAGCAGTGTATTTCAGTCAATCCACCTGTTCTGTTCCCTACTCTGTCTCTGGTGAATTCTCTCGCCTCCCTGCACTTCTGGCCTATATCCCAGTTCTTGTATGCATAAATAAATAAAATAAATCTTAAAAACATTTTGTTTTAAATACAATGAGAATAGTCCTATCATTTCTAGGTTTATTAGCAGCATAACAGGTAGCTGGTAAATATTTGTTTTGATTTGACAGGCATGTGTTTTGTTTTAAATAGATGCCGCTGTTCTCAACAATGTAGCACATACATTTGGCCTAATGGACACAATCAAGAAGGTTTTGGACAACAGAAGGAGCCAAGTAGAGCAGGGAGAAGAGCAATTTCTCTATACTCTAACAGGTGTGTGTGCATAACTTCTCTCTCTTCTTAGGTGATATCATACCAAAACCCTTGAGTCTTTTCATTTCTTTGTTGATTTCTGTTAGAACTGTCTATTTCTTCCTTTTTTTCAATTCACGTAGAATCAGATTTTGCTTTTTTTTTTTTTGGTATCCAGATCCAGGTGAGGTAGAGTAGTGGGAAGCAGAGGAGAAACAAAGGAAAACAGAAAGAAGCCAATAGCAGGGCCCTTTATCCCTTTCACATTACTGATACTGCATTTTGATAGATATAAATTTAGCACTTTATCCATTGTTTGCAGTAATAAAGAATTATGATATACACGGATAATTTAACTCTTTTTATCAAGCACTTACTTTTGTGCCATTGTCGAAACTTTCCGAAATATGATATTGAATAAGACAGTCCCAGTCTTTTCAGAGGTTTCAAGGAACTCAAGGGAAAGCAGACAGAAATAAGTGCAAAGGGCCTCCCTGGTGGTGCAAGGGGTAGAGATGCAGGACTATGAAGCTATCCTTAGCCACTGTGGCATGAGTTTGATCCCTGGCCACGGAGGTGACCCACATGGTGCAGTGAGCCTCTCCTGTCTTGCCTACTGCTCTCCTCAGCAGTGCATTTCAGTGGATCTGCCTGTTCTGCTCCTACTCTATCTGGTGAATCCTCTTACCCCACACATTTCAGGCCTGCACCCCAGCTCTTATATGCATAAATAAATAAATCTTAAAAAAAAGAGAGAGAAGCTGTAGAGGAGGTAAGGCCAATGAAAGATATAAATCAAAGGTGGTAAGTGGGCCTCCCCTGGAGCGCAGGCGGTTGAACGCTGCGCTGTGAAACTGTCCGCAGCCTCTGCAGTGCCGGTTCAATCCCAGCCGACCAGCGAGGGTCCCACATGGCGTGGCAGACCTCTCCTGTTGCGCCCGCTGCTCCCCTCAGCAGTGTATTTCATCAGTCTGCCTGTTCTGTTCCCCACTCTGTCTCTGGTGAATCCTTTCACCCTCCCGCGCATCTGGCCTGTACCCCAGTTCTTGAATAAATAATTAAATCTTTAAAAAAAGAAAAAAGGTGGTGAGTGTCAGCTTTTGAGTGATATGAGAAATATTATAGTCAGTCATGAAGCCAAGAAGTAAGAACAATTTAGGTTGTTTTTAACTTATTTTTATATCAAATTTATATTTTAAAATTTAGATACCTGCGTATTCTTAGTAATGGCCCTTTTTTATTTGTTCCTCTTGAGAATGTTGGGATAGATCCCTGTAAAGTGGATGTATTAGAACTCTCATTTTTGTAATTCTTAGGGATTTCCCCTATAACTTTCTGTAGACTTCTCTGGTTGCTGATGGCACATTAGCAAGGGCCATTTGGGTCACCAGCAAGGTAATCCTCTTTGTAGGACCGTTTGAGAATCACTGCTTTTCAGAGTGCCCACTATAACTTCATTGTAGGTTCATGACAGTTCCAGGGAGATTGTGCAGCTATTATTTTTATCTGTCGACCCGGGCAGGGCATATAATGTTTCTAGACCAACTGGAGACTTTTGGTGATAGAGTGTGAGTCACTTTTGGTGACAGAATACCACAGAGGCTTTTAAAACGTTGAACGTAGTAGAATCACAACCTGAAAAAGGCACCTGTGTTTTTGCCATGGCTATTATCTCAGAAAGAAATGTAATTGCTGGAGGGATTTTAAAAATCATCTAGTCTATGTTATTCATTTAGAAACAACTAAGTGACTTGCCTGAGGCTACATAGTAGCAAAACTAGGACAAGACCCTAAGTCTGCTGATTCCCAGTTTACTCTTCCCAGTATTATATTTTCTTCCACACAAAGTCTGTTTTTTTTCCATAGATTTAGAACGCCAGTTAGAAGAGCAGAAGAAGCAAGCTCAGGATCACAGGCTGAAATCACAGACAGTTCAAAATGTGGTACTGATGCCTGTGAGCACTCCTAAACCTCCAAAGAGGCCCCGGCTCCAGCGGCCAGCCTCCACCACCGTCCTGAGTCCTTCTCCTCCTGTCCAGCAGCCTCAGTTCACGGTCATCTCACCCATCACCATCACCCCGGTGGGTCAATCATTTTCCATGGGCAATATTCCAGTGGCCACCCTCAGCCAGGGCTCCAGTCCTGTGACTGTCCACACACTGCCTTCTGGGCCTCAGCTCTTCCGCTATGCCACAGTGGTCTCCTCTGCCAAGAGCAGTTCACCAGACACAGTGACCATTCACCCTTCGTCTAGCCTGGCCCTGCTAAGCTCCCCTGCTGTGCCGGATGGGAGTACCCTGGGCAACATGACCACCATGGTAAGCCCTATGGAGTTGGTGACCATGGAGTCTGGCCTGACCTCAGCAATCCAGGCTGTTGAAAGCACCTCAGAGGACGGGCAGACCATCATTGAGATTGATCCAGCCCCAGACCCAGAGGCTGAGGATACTGAGGGCAAAGCCGTCATTTTGGAGACAGAGCTGAGGACTGAGGAGAAAGTGGTGGCTGAGATGGAAGAACACCAGCATCAAGTCCACAATGTGGAGATTGTGGTCTTAGAGGATTAACTGGGGATCTTGGGGCCAGGAGATATGTTTTGGTTTGGAATTTTAATTATTTGTTTATTTTTATCATTGTCCTGCTCATTTCCATATAGGGTCCCCCCCCTTTTTTTAAAAAAAAAAAAAGAAGCAAAATCTCATTGTTGTAACTGAAATGTTGGGTCTCTCCCACCCCATCATTGAAAAATGGACAAAAACAAGCTGCCCTACCGGAAGTTGAGAGTAGGTCACTCAATGTCTTAACCCTTTTACACCAAGAAAGTTATTTCTTTTAGGGGAGGCATTAAGATAACCAGAAATCCCATCCAGAAAGCTGTTTTCAGACTAGTCTGTGTGCGCATGTTGTTTTATTCTTGTAAAGATGCATTGACCAAACTCTGGAACACATCTGACACTGGAAGGCAACCCATTCACATGTGGATGCAGAAGGATACTTTATTTTGTATCCTGGAAAGGGCCCTCAGAGGCCAGTACAAAACTCTGAAACAAAAGGAAATTGAACTCTGCTTGGAGGGGAAGGTGGCATACCAGCTTAAAAAGGGAAGTGCTTTGACCAGGATGGGGCAGGAAATTATCTTCCAGAAGTGCAACTGATGCCTCTTAAGATCTCTGAGGGATGTTACCCTGGGTGCCAGGAGAGGCCAGTGATAAGTGGAAGGGTGCATCTCCACAGAGCAAGTGGCACCAGAAACCAGTGGCTTTATAGAAGCAGACATCCAGGAGGTCACAGCTATGCTTTGGGATTTGAGATGGTAACCCAACTTGTCCTCCGCTTTGTCAAAGCACTTACTCTCCTAAACTAGGATCAGTCCATTCATTTGCAAACTGTTACGTGGTATAAATTGCTCTGGTTCTTGGACTGTGGCTGTCGTGGGGGTGGGGCTCCAAGGCCATCATCTGTGTTGCATGACTCTAGGAGCCGTGGAGTTCCTCATCCAGATCAGCTGCCTTTTTTTGGTGGGGCCCTTTTTTGGCTTTGGAACCAAAAGCAGCCACTCATTTGGTGCTTCCTCTTGTTCATCCTCCTCCCCTCAACTGTTAATGGCATCTGTCTTCTGGATCCCACGCTCTTCAGCTTTCTGGCTGATTTGGAGAACAGTGACAGGTGCCTGCCTGCCTTCATCCCCTTTTAGATTCATTTATACCACAGATGTTTCCGTGAAATATTGAGCTCATAAAAAAGCCTTAGGCTTGGCAGGAAGACTCAACACCCCCAGCCTATCCTGAGGCACCGAGTAGATGTCTCCTCCTGAGTGAGCTGGACTCCCTGGGAAAGAAGCATTGTCTGGAACATTATATTATAGGAAATGTACCAGGAATGTTAATAATAATGTCTTTGGGGGGGAGGGGACTTTCTTTTATTTCTTTTTTTTTTCAAATATTGTTTGTATATTTAGAGCTGGGCCATTTTTCATGCTGTGATTCCCTCTCTGACCATTTTCAGTGCTGGGGGAAGAGTGGATCTGTTTTGTTGTTTTTTTTTTTTTTTTCTTTGATTGTATTGTTTATTGCACTAGTAAAAATGTAGGGAAACTTAAAGGATAATTAGGTCCAAAAAAAAAAAAAAAAAAAAAAAAAACCTTAGAAGTGGGAGGTCTTTTTTCTTTTTCTTTTTTTTAATTAAAAGCAAAACTTTGATCTGTAGCTTCCCCCTTTTTTTTTTTTCAAAGGCACCCACCTGAAGCCATATTTCTTCCAACAGGTGTTGGAAAGCCTCTTGTCAAGCAAGTGGAACCCATGCTGCCATCCCTGGATGGCTGTGTATCGCTAGAGGAGCCCTCTGACTTGGGAGGGATAATCTGGAAAACTTTAGAGTGACATTTCTGAATCCCACACAGTTGTGGTTTTCAGCCTTGAAAGATTTCTGGGTTGTTTGTTTGTTTCCCTTTTCAAAATATCTGATGTGGCAATCATCTTAGAACAAACCTTTGGCCCTTTATATATCTCTAGTAAGGAAGGTGGCTTTTATTTCTTGCTTTCTTTAGGTTTTCTGTTGGTACATTAACAGAGAAAATTTTATCTAAGCCTAAAACTACTACTTAAACGTAGAAAGGCATGTGTCATCTCAACTGTGGTTTTTAGGGATACTTCTAAAAGTGACTCTTTTCCAGAGACGAAAGGCTCAATTCAGGACAGGAGAGCCCTAGAGAACACCTTCAGGCTAGCTCAGGTTCCTTTCTTTCCTCCGTCAGAGCTGTTGCTAGTGTTTTCAAGTAGCATGAGCATCATGCTTCCAAAACCAAGAGATGTTCTTCTAAAGGCTGAGTCTGTTTACTCTCACTATTTGATTATTCTGGTTGGTTAAAATACATGAGCTTTGTTTTCCTGGTCTTCCAATAGCCTGTCATTATTGCTAGATACTACGGCACATGTTGTTCTATGTGGGTTCCCTTACAGCGCTGGTTTAGAAGAACTCAGATGGGGCAAAACCTATGCAAGCCATTGGATATATACATGAGGTTGCAATGAATCGTTCCTCAGACTGGCTTAGCAATAGCCATATGCCTTTCTGTTCATTAATTTAATAAACATTTATTAGTATCCTCTATGTGCCAGGCTTTATGCTAGGCACGGGCAGTATAGAGACAACACAGCCCCTGCTCTCAAGGAATTCATACTGTAGAGTTTGTCTCGAGTTAAGAACTATATTTCAATATAATTGGTCTCAGTTGTAATCCTATATATTTTCCCATTCATTGAAAATCATTATCCCAAGAATTAGTCCATAGGTTTCAGCACACTACCAAAGGCACAAAGAGGTTTAGCCCTTCTCTGGTGAGATACTGGAAGGTGTCATCATATTGGGGTAAGTGCAGTGATAGTACTATTGTCTGGGAGTTGAGAGAACAAAAGGATGAAGCAGTTAACCCAGGCTGGGAGCAAATGGTCAGCAAATACGAGAGTACTTCCTGGAGTGCTTCTGCTTGAGTGGAGAAAGGCATGTGCCATCAGCACTTAAGCTGATGTTGGAGACCATTTTTTTGGTATTCCATTTTTAAGTAATTGGGCTTGTTGATATCAGAAGGAAAAGATTCTCAGTCTCCCACTGCTTCTGCCCCAGAGCTAGGCAGAGAACAGTACTGGCAATCTCCCCTGAGAGTATCACAGTAAAAAACACAAGTCACTTTCCAAATTTCCGTTAGATGAATACAGTGCAGGAGTGGAGTTTAACTGGTGGAAGATAGATGCTCCAAAGCTTCTTGACATGTGGTTTCCTCAAAGGCCTCAAACCACTGTACAACTCCTTGCCCATGTCCTTACCCCCACCCTTTTTACTCCCCCTTTTTAGTTTCCAGATTCCTTCTCTGCCCACCCCCAAACAAAACAAAACTCCCAGTCATTCTAAATTAAAAAATGGACAATAGACTATTCAGTCACTTCATGTGAAGTTTCTTTCACACCTCTATCCACCTTAGGGAAAGAGGACCGATGATAATCCAAATACCTTGGAAATTAATATTCAGTCAGGTAGTCTGATACCATTCAGTAGTGGTATTTTATGTCCCTTTTCCTGAAAGGCACTAAAGGTAAGTCTATATGATGGGAATTATTAGTTTTGATAACATTTGATTATAAAGAAAGTAAAATCAAGCAGAGATAGTAGAATTACTAGTTCGTTGAGTTATGACAGGTCCAGGTTTTAGGACTATAAAGAAGGTAGAAAGGATAAAGGAAAGACTGGATTCTGAAAATAGACTTAAAGTTGTGATTCATTCTGGGCAACACTCCTAAGGAGTTGGTCCCCTGAGACAAAAAGATACTTGGTTAGCTCCTGCATTTTCAGATAACCTATTAACAGTTGATCACTGATCCCTCACACCTAGGTTAACTCCTCCCTGGGAAATCCTTGCATTCTGTAATGTATCATAATAACAAGAGGTGGTTACATGAGACAAGGGATCGGTCCTGCTAGATTTGGATTCTTTGCTTCTGGAATTTCTTCTTAGGACATTTTCTTCTTGGGACATTTTCTTAGTCCTGAGCTATGTAATGACTTCTTTAGAAAGTTCTACCCTCTTCAAAATTCCTATCCATATTTCTACTTCTCTAGCCCTTGCTAGAGAAATAAGATTTAGTTCCCAAAGACTACCCACTTAGTAACTCTACTTTCTGCCCTAACAGTAACTTTAAGCTCTTTAATCATCTCTTGTCAAGGTACCCCAACACCCAAACCTT